CAAACCCTTTCAGCTGTTTGTATCTGAACACCAAGGACATGCTGCTGGGGTACTCACCCAATTACACGGTAACCGCCTACGTCCAGTGGGCTACTACTCCTGTAGGCTGGATGCGGTGGCAAGAGGAGGCCCCTCAGGTCTGCGAGCTGTCTTTGCCGCACAGGCCCTACTTGACAAAACTTCTGATCTGGTCCTGTGCCACTATCTTATCCTGTTTGCACCCCATGACATTGCCGCTATACTTAATCAAGTCCAGCCGAAGCACCTGTCCACCGCCAGACACTTAAGGCTTCAGTGTTCTCTCCTGGTGCCGGATAACATCACCTTAATACGCTGCCAGACACTGAATCCTGCCACCCTCCTCCCACTTTCCGAAGGGGGAGAAGACTCCGGTTCTGAAGAGACTGATCTGACCCATGACTGCTTTGAACTGATGAAAATGGAAACCACACACCTCCCTACTGTGAGTGAAACGCCCCTGGAGAATCCAGACCTTACAATTTTTGTTGATGGCTCCAGATTTGCCAACGGAGGAGGCAGATACCATATAGGATACGCTGTTACCACCAAAGACACAGTCCTACAGGTTGAATCTTTACCACTGACAATGTCTGCACAAGAGGCAGAGCTACAAGCGCTCACTACTGCGTGTAAACTGTCCGAAGACAAAAAAGAGCCAACATCCACACAGATTCAAGATACGCCTTAAAGGTCGCTCACGACTTTGGAGTCATTTGGAAGGCCAGAGGATTCCTGACAGCGGTAGGCACACCAGTAAAGCATAGTGCAGCTATCAAGGACTTGATGGATGCCCTACTCCTTCCCTAGCAGGTGGCCATCTTGAAAGTAAAAGCACACGGCAGACTGAACCCAAAAGAGGCCCGAGGGAACCATTTGGCAGATATGCCAGCCAAACAAGCGGCCAGAGGACCGCAGGAAGTGGAAGGAGGGGTGGAGTCAGAAGAATACCCATTATACCCAGCGTTGACCCCACACCCAGTACTGACTCTGCAAACTTTACCAGTGGACAGGAGTTACCTGAAGGAACTCCAGGAAACAGCAAGCCCAGAAGAGAAGGAAAGCTGGAAACGAAGGGGAGCGACTCTCAAGGGTGGATTGTTTAAATGCAACAAGAAACCTTGTCTACCCAAAACCCTATACCCAGCTGTGGAGCAGTGGGCACATGGAGCAGCCCACCTGTCCAAAACCCTTATGAACTCTCTCGTCAACAAGTACTATGTGGCACCACGCAAGGGCGGACTGACCATTTGGAAACTCAGGAACTGCCTGAGAACCCGGGGTCAGTAGGGGGCCCCATGAGAAGCCCCTGGTACCTTTTTCATAGGCTTTTTTGAGTTTGGGCAAGGACACAGGGGCCCCATGATCCCCTATTGCCCGGGGGCCCCATAAGTTGTCAGTCCACCCCTGGGCACCAGGGATCACTCCACTGAGAAACAACTTTTGCAGATCATGTGCCATCTGTGCAAAGTGCAATCCAGGACGCACAGAGAAGACACCACAGAAACACTTGGCAAAACCCTTGTATCCCTTCCAGAGGATACAAATTGACCATATCCAGATGCCCAAGAGTGGGCGGTTCAAGTATGCCCTAGTGGTGGTGGACATGTTTTCCAGTTGGCCGGAGGCCTTTGCTGTAACCAACATGACTGCCAAAACAACTGCAAAGAAGCTCCTCACTGAGGTTGTATGCAGATATGGGCTTCCAGAGGTGATAGTGACCAGGGCCCCGCCTTCACCGTCTCAGTAACCAAGGAAGTGTGTGCCGCACTGGGGGTCACCCTGGCATTCCACACCCCCTATCACCTTCAGAGTAGTGGGAAGATAGAGAGAATGAATGGCACTCTGAAAGCTAGAATGCTGAAAATGGCCCAAGAGACTGGTATGAATTGGCCGGACAGTCTGCCCATTGCCCTATTCTGCGTCAGATACACACCAAGGGGAGAATACTCCCTATCCCCTTATGAGATTTTGTTTGGTTCGGCCCCGAGACTTGGTTGTTATTTTTCACAACAGTTGCAATTATAATCTGATGTGTTAACCAATTATATAACCACATTATCACGAGAACTAACCCAAATATATGCCCAGGTGTTTTCTTCCATTCTAGATCCTAAGTCAGATACAAGAACTCACGGCCTACTGCCCGGAGACTGGGTGTTAGTAAAGAAATTTGTGAGAAAATATTCCCTTGAGCCAAGATATGATGGTCCATTCCAAGTCCTGCTGACCACAGCCACTTCTGTCAAGCTGGCGGGGAAGAACACCTGGATACACACCTATTACAAGAAAGTTCAAATTTCTGAGGACAAGACCCTGCCTATACCACAATGACTGTGTTGTATATCCTTTTTCTGGTAAACCTGGCGCGGGCCCAACAGGTAGCCATCACGCAGAAGGAAGCTTTGACCCTCACGTATATATAGATGCCATAGGAGTTCCAAGGGGGGTCCCTGATGAGTTCAAGACAAGAGATCAGGTGAATGCAGGTTTTGAATCCTTAATTCCCATAGTGACCATTAATAAGAATGTTGACTGGATAAATTACATATATTATTGCCCTGTAGGGAAAGCATCTGACTTTCTTATGTGTAAAGTATGTGGCAAGGGGGGGGTGGACTAGCCATCACTCGTCTAACGTGCAGCACAAAAGCGTTCCAAGGCACATAAGAACAGATGAGTTAGGTTCCATGGTTTTATAGGGACAGAGAAAATAATCATTTTAAGGGGGGGACTGTGATGGAAGTAAGTAAAATGACCATTTTTGCAATGTGTGTGTATATGTATATATATATATTTATATTTATGTGTTGTGTGTGTATATATACCTTTTTCTACTTTTTTTTTTTTTTTTATAGTATTTCTTGCTCAAAATGGCTGCCAGATACACCCCCTCCCATCGAGTAAGGAATGCATGATCAAGATGGAGCCTCCTTCCTGTGTTACACCCAAACGGTGATGCACGAGCCCTGAAGGAAGTTTGCCTTATATGGACATGACCAATCAGAAGCTTATACGCAGCCTAGTGACACTACGCTCACATGACCTCTGCACACAGCCTAGGAGTGTGCCTATATAAACGCACTTCCTCATACCAATAAAGCAAAAGTTTCACAGAGCTGAACGAGTGTGTCAGAGTGAATTCTTCAGATGCGCGCATCCCATGCCACATGATTGATTAGGACAGGGGCAGATAATCATCGGACACTTGGTCCGGTCCAAAACACACTCAGTACAGCTGTCTGCCTGTACCTTGTACGGGTAGGCAGTTGTTGAATGGCAGGAAGAATCAATGAATGATGAGTGCTCACCAGCACTATAGCAGTTCATTGGGAACTACAAGCCATCAGCTATGGAGGCCGATGGTTGATGTAGTGCATTCAATCACAGAACTCTGTGAATGAATGACACGGCCGTGTGGCTGGAGAACTGCACAGCTGCAGTTTTTAAATTTTGACAACGGGTGCTGGAAAAAAAAAAAAAAAAAATTGCAGGAGAGGCAGCAGGAGCTGGAACATGTAACATATTCCGAAAGGTGAACGTATTCTTTAATCTTAAAGGACGTCAGCCTCACGTACTGATGTCAGGCCGCCACAGCGGCCATTTTGGTATGCTTTTATGCATTTAACTCTGCTGTATCCACGTGGATTGTTTTGAATTATTTATAATAAACACTATATTGCCATACCTTCGGCTCCTGTGGTGAGCTTCTCCCCCTAGGAGGATCCTTGACTGGTTTTGCTTAGTCCTGACCCTGAAGAAGTCTGATCCCTATTTATGGCTTCCTAAGAAACCCCATAATGATCAGCATTAACACGATTATACAAGTAGCGTTCTGGTGAGTGCACATCCATAGAAGGTGGTTGATTCCCATGTTGGCTCATGAGCACTCTTGAGCATCTCAGCTGGTATTGCTGCACGAACACCAAGCATTGCTGTGACCTGTAGTGCCACGGACTATGTATAATCACTATTATTGCTACATAAGCACACATATATCACTTGGACTTCTGTGACCTGCAGTGTCACAAACTATCCACTATTTATATTCCAAATTTTTGAGTTTTTTTATGATTTTATGTGATCTGAGACATTTTATTGGAATATTGTATGAACACGTCTATTCACATAAGCACTTTATGATTGCATTTGTCACTTGTGCCTTAGCGCTGCACTTACATTTGAATTGATTCCTATGTTGCTGCTGTGACACTTTTTGTGTTCGCTTTATACAAGCCATACCAGATCCAGAAAACCGAGAAATGCACACCACGTATGTACCAAACATCCATTTATTTCCATCCAAATAAAGGAGGGTGGTTCAGGGCTCCTGCTCAAATAATTACTTTAAAAAAAGTTGAACTATCCACAAGAAAATAAATAGAACGGTCAGGTTGGGGGTGCCGGAGTGACTTCACGAGAATTAAAAAATAAAACTTCATTCCTAAAGTCTGCCTAGCTGATGCCTGGTCAGCGGCAAAGGATAATGGAAACCATAATTGGCAACAGTAAGAATTTTGTCTCCTGTAAATGAAAAAAAAAAAAAAATGTTTGGTCGTGAAATAAGTAGCTCTTCCCATTGTAGGACGCTGAACCCCAGAGGTGTTTTGGTTGGTAGTCGCAAAGATCTTTTCTGTTATCACTGATTCCGAGAACATGATCGTGGTACAAGACACCATTGCTGCTGCTGGCAGCATTGTATCGTCTCAGCCCTGACGGATCCTCCCACATTGGTCTGTCATCACCGGAGTCTCAAATGAGGGAACTGACTAGTGCCGGGCAATGAGCACCATCATTAACCGCTGGCAGGGAATGTCTATATAGTTTATCATATATCAGACCCCCATAGGGGGAGAAGAGATGACGAAGCTGCAGGCGGGTTTGAGACCAGCGTGCTCTTCTCTGTAGTGACCCTGTGTCCATAGATGCAGGGATGTGGTCTGGAGTATCCCTCCAGCAGGTCCAGGGAACCGAGCCAGAGATCACTGCTGAAATAGTGCCGGCAGGGCTGCTGGACAGCCTCCAATAATGGAATCTTCCAAGACCGGGCGAGGCTTCTTCTGGAATAAGGAGGGAAGGTTCCGGATGTGAACTTCTTTTCGAAATTGCTCGCCAAGAGGTTTCTAGAATGAGAAAAGGAGGAAAGCTACCATTACACAAAGAGACATGACAACCGCAGGGGAGGAGATATACACTATATTGCCAAAAGTATTGGGCTCCCCTCTAAATCTTTGGATTCAGGTGCTCCAATCTCCTCTATGGCCAAAAGTTGTATAACATCAAGCCCCTAGGTATGCAGACTGCTTCTACAGTCCTGCTCTGTATTGTTCCAATTGTCCCCTGTGTCACTAGGCCAAATGGCCTAAATCATATTACTCTGGGCTCCCGGCCAGCTGGCTGGGAGCTCTCTGTACACCTCCCAACTTGCTTTTCATCTATGCAGACATCATCCCTGCCCCCCAGGATGTCCCTGTCACCAGCCTGATTCTCCCTGGGGTCTAGTATTCCCTTCCCCCCTCCCGGTTGCCAAGGCGACCGGGGAGCATCCTGCAGCAGTTTAAGAGGCTGATGCTAGGCGCTCCGTTTTCATTCCGGTGTGCAATCAGCAAAGGATCTCAAGCTCCGGCGAGACCTTTCTGACTAGACTCTGCAAGCCTACCCCAGCCTCACAGAGACCCCACAGGAGGGAAGAGGCGGCCAGAGAAAGCTTGCCTGCGATTGCGAGAGACCCCACAGAAGGGGCAGAGACTATCACAGTCTGCGATTGCGAGAGACCCTACAGAAGGGGGAGAGACTACCACAGCCCGTCTGCCAGAGGCCACCCGCCTGATCCGGACTCCACAGGTACCTGCGTTCTGCTTCTACCCCTGGGAGACCAGGCACCCTGTTGGATCCGTGAGTACCAGCTTCCCCACTGTGTTACCTGAACTGTTGCGGTGGTGACCCCTCGCACCCCCTCCTGTGTCAGACTACCCGTTACAGAGACACCCCCTTGGCTCTCCTAGTGGACTATAAGTGGGTGGGGCCTCTCATTACCTTTTAGTGGCAAATCCACCCTCTCTGCCACCCCCCTTATTGAAGGACTGCCGTCTGTCTCAATAAAGCTTTTTGCGTCTGCCATCCACTCTGTGTGTTCTTTCCTGCCTTTCCTCTGTCACATAAATATTCCACGCTCAACTGTTAGTGGGATTATAACAAAGTGGAAGCAATGGGGAACAGCAGCAACTCAGCCACCAAGTGGTAGGCCACGTCACATGACAGGGCGGGGGTCAGCGCATGCTGAAGCGCACAGTGCGCAGAAGTCACCAACTGTCTGCAGAGTCAATAGCTAACGACCTCCAAACTTCATGTGGCCTTCAGATTAGCACAACAGTGCATAGAGAGCTTCATGGAATGGGTCTCCATGGCCGAGCAGCTGCATCCAAGCCTTACATCACCAAGTGCAATGCAAAGCTTCGGATGCCGTGGTGTAAAGCACGCCGCCACTTGACTCTAGAGCAGTGGAAACGTGTTCTCTGGAGTGACCAATCATGCTTCTCTGGCAATCCAATGGATGTGTCTAGGTTTGGGGATTGCCAAGAGAAAAAAAATACTTGCCTGACTGCATTGTGCCAAGTGTAAAGTTTGGTGGAGGGGGGATTATGGTGTGGGATTGTTTTTCAGGGGTTGGGCTTGGCCCCCTAGTTCCATTGAAGGGAACTCTTAAGGCGTCAGCATACCAAGACATTTTGGACAATTTCACGCTCCCAACTTTGTGCGAAGAGTTTGGGGATGGCCCCTTCCTGTTCCAACATGACTGCGCACCAGTGCACAAAGCAAGGTCCATAAAGACAAGGTCCATAGAACACCTTTGGGATGAATTAGGGTGGAGACTGCGAGCCAGGCCTCCTCCCCCGACATCAGTGCCTGACCTGACAAATGTCCTTCTGGAAGAATGGTCCAACCTTCCCATAGACACCCTCCTAAACCTTGTGGACGGCCTTCCCAGAAGAGTTGAAGCGGTTATAGCTGCAAAGGGCGGGGCCAACTCAATATTGAACCCTACGGACTAAGACTGGGGGGCCATTAAAGTTCATGTGCGTGGAAAGGCCGGCGGCCCAATACGTTTGCCAATATTGTCTATATTTACCAATCAGTAACACAATGGGTGGAGATATCAATCAGTAGAAGTGACAGCTTTCATTAAAGTAGAATTCCAGCCTAAACTTAACTAGTCTTAAACATGTTCCCTCCTAACGTTCACACTGATGCGACTTGATGCAATTTTCATGCTATGCAACTTTGCTTTGGTTAAAAGCCCTCTAAAGTCGGATACTGCCACATAGATTAAAACAATCCTTGCAACTTCTGATGTTAACATTGCAGTCTATGCCACTCAAGTCGTACCAAAGACCAGAAAAGTAGTACAGGAACTTTTTAAGTTGCTGCGACTTGAGTCACATTGTTTAAGATGGCACCCATTAAAATGAACATTTTTGACTTGCTGTGCAATGTTATGAGTTGCAAGTCGCATAAGTCAGGTCAGTGTGAATCTGGGTTAGAAAGGATTGTCAATCTATGCGTCAGTGTCTGACTTCAAAAGGGTTTTTAACCAAAGACAAAGTCGCAGCAGTGTGAACCGAGCCTGTGTAATAAAAAAAAAAAAAATGTGTATACTTACCTATATATATATATATATATATATATATATATATATATATATATATATATATATATATATATATTCAGTTTGCTCCGGTCCTGTCACATGCTCCAACACCTCTGTGTCAGCCAGCAGCGACTGCAGGGTAAGGAGGCGGCGCCAACAGCTGGACATGGGAACCTATAGGTCAATGTCACGGCTCCTGGAATTCCCAGCTGTTATCAGACGCCCACTCCTCTCCCCTGCAGCTTCCACAGGGGGTCACCTGACCAGACTAAAAATAGGTAAATATATACATCACAGCAACCCACCTCAGATATAAGAAAGAACACATGTCCGGCATCCCTTTAGATGTGTGCAACCTTGCTAGCCACTGCTGGTAGACTTTATTGAAGTGATCAACAGGTTGCACAACTAGAGTGCAATCAAATAACTGATCAGCAGATTGCTGAGCTTAAAGTCTGTAGCACTCAGTGCTAAAGGGATGCCAGATGTGGGTTCTTTCATACTGGACTGTTCTCCAATCCCAGAGGATGCCATTTTTGGAGTATTGAGCATCAGGCGGAGCTTTCTGTGACGTCACTATGTTCTGGCCGGCGGTCTGATATCGCGGGAATTTTAAATGTTTACACCGCCTTATGCACCTTATGTATGTAAGTGCAATACTTGAATACATTTTTTGCTGGTTTATTGGGTCACACTATGAAGTTTTCTTCTGTTTTAAAACCTTTCCTTGCATGATGTGGAGAGCTTTCTGATGTGATGGATTTGTTCAAGTGAACCTGCATTTGTCCACTCATCTCCTAGATACGGCTAACTAGGGTGTCAGTGTGGGATCCGAAAACCATCCGCTTGTTAGATCTCTTGATTGGAGATCAAAGCGTCTAAGAGACTGATTTTTTTTCTTTTGTGTCAAGCATTTTTGGACACTGATGGGAGTCACTTCGGGTGGGGGGCCCATGGAACACAGCTCATTTTGGAGAGGTGGGGAGACCCCTTTCTCAGCTCCCCATATCCCTCTTATGTGTAAATCACCCTGTGCCTGTTAGCGGTACAGGGTGATCTGTCCTAATATTGTGTGGGCTTTGTCTCAGACGATGTAGACATGTTTAGGAGATAGGTGGGGGGTTGTTGATTGTTTAATGTTATGTGGCTGCATGCCATTGTTCTATTGTTTGGGAACAAACTATTATGGGATGTATGTGTTTATGTGAATTAGCTTAGGGGGGGGGGGTCTCCAGCAGCCCTCCCTCCTGATGGGACTGTCTGCTGGTGTAAAGTTTGAATACCTGTGTGTCTCTTACTAAATGTAGATTGCCTCGCCCTGTGTCATTATGCAGGGAGGGGGGATTGTCCCGAGTGTATATATCTTGTATCTGTGTTCAAATAAACTACTTCCTGGTTTACTTCAAGACTGGTGTCATCTAATTTTGTATGGTCGGCTGTGATGTCTGTTGTCGGTGTTCAGACGGGGAAGCAGTATTCTAACGAAAGTACTCAAGCGCAGTCTGGGTCAGTTCCGTTACAGAAACCTATGCAGTTTCTGTTCGAGGATTTTTTTTTTTTTTTTAGCACACAGCACTGTGTTATTGGATTTTGGGAATTTTAATTATTTAAACATATGAATGAGTCTCCGGTCATCTCAGTCTCCGGTCATCTCTGTCCTGCGTCCGCAGTCTCCGGTCATCTCCTGTCCTGCGTCCGCAGTCTCCGGTCATCTCCTGTCCTGCGCCCGCAGTCTCCGGTCATCTCCTGTCCTGCGCCCGCAGTCTCCGGTCATCTCCTGTCCTGCGCCCGCAGTCTCCGGTCATCTCCTGTCCTGCGCCCGCAGTCTCCGGTCATCTCCTGTCCTGCGCCCGCAGTCTCCGGTCATCTCCTGTCCTGCGCCCGCAGTCTCCGGTCATCTCCTGTCCTGCGCCCGCAGTCTCCGGTCATCTCCTGTCCTGCGTCCGCAGTCTCCGGTCAACTCCTGTACTATGTCTGCAGTCCATTGCTTCAGAATATTTTTTTTCTTGTTTTTCTCCTATAAAAACCTAGGTGCGTCTTATGGAGCGAAAAATAAGGTATATCATTTCAATTAATTTATGCGCATTTTTTATGCAGCAGTATTTATTATTGTTTATGATTTTTTTTTTTAGTGTACAGCCAGGGGCGGACTGACAACTCACGGGGCCCCTGTGTCCTTGCCCACACTCAAAGCACACCCAAAAAAGCCTATGAAAGATACCAGGGGCATTTCATTGGGCCCCCTACTGACCACGGGCCCTCGGGCAGTTCCCGAGTGCTCAGTCCTCCCCTGTGTACAGCACACTCATTTTTTATACGTGTGTTCATTCATAAGATGCACAAGAACTACAGTACAGTGACTGACATCAATCCTAAAGATCAAGCCTACACCTGACAAAGAGCAAAAGTGACTGAAGCCAGAGAAAGCAAAAAGCTGAAAGAAGCAAGCCAACATCAGTACGGATCAGGAGAAAAGACTGATGAATAATGAAGTCATTCAGAGAAGAAATGAAGGTGGGCTCTAGCTAGCTGCTGCGGCTTCAAAAGGTTATTTTGTGGGGATAGAGGCCTGCAAGGAATTGAGGGTAATCGGTTTCAATACATAGGAGGACCTACAAGTGTGGGAATAAAAGGCTAAAAGTTCAGTTTTCAAGCATTCGTTAACCTTTACAGAAAAAAAAATGAGAACACCATACATCCTCCCCGCCCTCTTTCCCCTCCCGGGTCCTCGCTGTACTCTGTGCAGCATTTCCAGAACAGATTAAATGACTGTGATGGCGCTAACCAATCAGAATCTGTCCCGGGGCGCTGCACAGAAAATAGGGAGGAATGGGTATTTCAAATTGTCAAGACTGCTGGACCGGCTGTGGAAGCCCTGACAGTTCAATATCCCCAGAGAACTACAACAGGGACTGGGGGGGTGTAGAAGGGGTTTGGGGGGAGCAGAGGGTGTTCCGTGTTAGTACACTTTTGCATTTTTTTCTGTAAAAGTGAATTAACCCTTTAAACTCATACAAAAGGTATCCCATATCTGCACCATCCTGGAAGCACTGCACAGACGAGAGGGAGAAGAGCTGGGATTTCGAATCTCATTGCCAGAGATAAGTAAAGCAAGGAGGGGGGGGGGGGATAATGGGTGGAGAGGGTGTACGGGGTTAGTTCACCTTTCCATTTTTCTGCAAAGGTGAACTAACCCTTCTACAAAGGAATCCCAAATTCTCTGCTTACCCCTATACACCCGGAGATGAGCCTGCGGAAGTGATCCTTCCTCTTCTTCTCTGAAGCTTTCTGTCCCGGGGATAGAAGTTTGGTGTCAAACTGCTGCAAGGAGTCCATGTGGACCTCTGGGACTTGTTCCATCACCAGTCGCAGCTCCTGGAACCGTGGACGCTTGTAAAGAAGAAAAGCTATGTAAGTAATCACATGAATATAATGTTTGTTTCCAATAATATGATGCTAGCATAGTACAATGGCTTCCTTGATGGCTCCTGACAGTCAGAGGCGGTGTCATAGATTCTTACCAGAGCTTCATAAACCTGGAATGCCAGGCTCACCAGGGATGCATTACAGAATTCGTGCTGACCGTGTGTCTGAAGCCCACGCAGAATATTTGTAAAGAAACAAAGAGCAGCTTCTGAGGGTAGAGAACCGGAAATCACCTGCAGGGGACAGTGATCAACAGTGATCAGCAACACATACTGTACTAGGCAGCTATAAGGAGCAAGAATATACACATATAGAAAGAAGGAAGAAAAACCACACAAGAGAGAAAATAGAAGATGAGAGATGAGGACAGCGATATCTTTAGGATGAGCAAGAAGGAAGTCAGACTAAGGAACCATTTACACTTGCGGTGGGGGGTGATAAAACATGGTTGATCCACGTTGTCACTGCCTTCAGGCCCTCCTCTCCCCCCAGCAGCACCCCCCGTAAGCTGCAAAAACAGCTGGGGTTATACGGTTTTGCAGCCACAGCCGGGATAATACCATGAAGCATTTGGCAGGTACCACTGCCTGCCGAGCACCACCTAATTCAAGCGAAGGGAGTCCCGCACAACTGTATGCAATGCACGTGGTTGCGACACAGCGGTGCAGCATTTAGATGGCTCAAACAAGAGGCGAGGAGGCGTGCCAGTCCTTGCAGGAAATGTAAATGAGCCCTTAAAGGCCAAGTTCACCTTTAAAAAAAAAAAAAAAAAAATTTAAAATAATAAATGCACTTTTTTGCAGGTAAAAAAAAAAAAACGTGCATTATTTTTTTGCTGAGGAGCCTTCAAAGCATTGCACTCAGGATCAGGAGATCAGGGGTGCCAAGTCAGAATCCTTCATACCTCCCATACAGGCAAGCAGTTACTGAAGTCCAGGAAAATCAATGAACTACAAAGGTGCTCACCAGCGCCCTCGTAGTTCATTGAGAACTGCAAGCCACCTTCCGCAATGCCCGATGGTAGTTTGGTAGTTATAGTTTATTCATTCACAGGACTTTGAGAATGAATGACGCAACCATTCGGGCGGAGCCCTGCACGGCTGCTCTGTGTTCAAATTGTGACTGTGGGTGCAGGGAGAAGTTCCCCAATCCACTGCCACAGGGAACGGGAAGGGGTGGGGGGGGGATGAGTTTGTGGATGCTGAACGTGTTACACCCTAAATATGGGTGAGAAAACATGTTGAGAAAAGTGAACTTATCCTTTCACCACTTCCATATACTTGATTTTGCATTTCTGGGTAGGGGGCATGCGTGCCGCCCTACCTACGCCGCCATCGGCGACTACAGCTGTCGATCACCCGTCCCATCTGGAGATTCCCCACTGGCACCCGGCGATCGCCGAGGAACACCGACAGGGCAGAGATCTGTATGTAAACAAACAATACAGACCTCTCCCTTGTCAGCACCAGCATGCTGCTTTGTATTGCTCTGCATAGCAGAGCAATACAAAGCAGCATGCTTACACAGTAAAACACACACAGCACAGTTAAAAGTTTGATCGCCCCAGATGTTAACTCCTTCCTGCCCAGTGTCATTAGTACAGTGTCAGTGCTTTTTTTTTTTTTTTTAGCACTGATCACTGTATCAGTGTTACTGGGGATGTCAATGACAGTTAGTTCCCCCAAGTGTCAGAATGCCCGCCTCAGTCCTGCTAAAAGTCGCTGCTCGCCGCCATTACTAGTATAAAAAAATACAAATTCCAGTATTTATACCGCCATTTGTAAACATTATAACTTTCACGTAAACCAATTAAAGCGGAGTTCCAGCTGAAAAAAAAAATAAATAAAAGTCAGCAGCTACAGCAACTGTAGCGGCTAACTTTTAAAAAACAGACACTTACCTGTCCCTTGGTCCAGCAGTGTCCTCACCACGGCCTTCTTCTCTCCCTGGCGCAGGCATCCTTAGTGTGGGCACCTGGCTGCGATAGCTTGCGGCTTCACAGCCGGGTGCCCACTGTGCATGCGCGAGAAGTGCTGCGCTTTGTGAACGGCCCCATAGCCTTCTGGGACCTGTCACGTGTCCCAGAAGACTACAAGGGTGGGAGGGGGAGGACAACTTCCGTTTTCAATCGCCTAGGCGATCGCAGTTGAAGTGGGTGCAGGTACCTGTCAAAATTCAGGTACCTGCTCCCCAAAGGTGCCAATCCTTAATGGGGAGCGGGAGACAAAGGCTTAAAGTGGAACGTCCCCTTTTGGGTGGAGCTCCACTTTAATTTACATGTATTGGGATTTATTTTTTATTTTTTTTTTTAGCAAAGACATGTCACAGAATACATTTTGGGCGAAATTTATGACAAAATTTGATTTTTATAATTTTTTTTTACTGGATGTTTTATAGCAAAAAGTCAAAAATATATATATTTTCAAAATTGTCAGTCTGTTTTTGTTTATAGCGCAAAAAATAAAAAGAAAGCTCTATTCATGGGGAAAAAAAAAAAAAGGACATAAATTTAATATGGGTGCAGAGTTGCACGACCACGCAATTGTCAGTTAACCATTTCAATACCGGGCAATTTTACACCTTCCTGCCCAGGCCATTTTTCACGTTTCAGCGCTCTCACACTTTGAATGACAATTGCGCGATCATACAACATTGTACCCAAACTAAAATTTTATAATTTTCTTCGCACAACTAGAGCTTTCTTTTGGTGGTATTTAATCACCGCTGGGCTTTTTATTTTTTGCTAAATTCACAAAAAAAGATCAAAAATTTTGAAAAAAAAAAACACGTTTTTTCTTTGTTTCTGTTATAAAAGTTTGCAAATAAATAATTGTTCTTCATAAATTTAGGCCGAGATGTATTCTGCTACATGTCTTTGGTGAAAATAACCCAAATTAGGATGTATTTTTTAGTTTGTAGGAAAGTTATAGAGTTCACAAACTATGGGATAGATCTGAGTATTGATCGATCCTGAAGTACTGACAGCCAATCTAATTTCTTGAGGTCCAAGAATGTCAGAACAGTACAGATATCCCCCAAATGTCAGGACAGGACAGATATCCCCAAAATTTCAGAACAGTACAGATATCCCCCAAATGTCAGGACAGTACAGATATCCCCCAAATGTCAGAATAGTACAGATATCCCCCAAATGTCAGAATAGTACAGATATCCCCCAAATGACCCCTTTTTGCAAAGTAGACAGTTCAACGTATTTCATAAGAGGCATGGCGCATTTTTTGAAGTTGTATTTTTTTTGTCATAATTTTTCGGAAAATGAAAAAATTAAAAAACTTAATTTTCACTATTTTTTACATACTGTCACCAGTGCAGTACAGCGTCATCATATAACTGGCATGGCGGTGAACAGGGACACTGACTGGTGACAGTATGAAAAAAAAAAATATATATATATATTTTTTTTTTTTTTATTATTTTTAATTTTTTATTACATTTTTTTAAGAATTTTTTTTTCATATTTTACTATGACCAAAGTAGTACAATGTTACCATAGTAACATTGTACTAATTTGGGGAAGTGATCAGTATTTTTTTTTTTTTTTTTTACACAATTTGCTTATAGCAAAGAATTACTTTGCTATAAGCAAGCATTTACCTGAATGAAATCGATTCATTTAGGCTTTTTGTTTTTTTTGTGCTTAGCTGTGATTTGGCTACAGCTAATCACATGACATATGCATGTGACCTGCTGTGACCATTCACAGCTAGGCACTAGTATACAATGGATGGCATGAATGAAGCCATCCATTGTATACAACTGTCATGTGACCTGACACACGGCACCGGCAACGGGGGCCAGTACTCAGATCTGTCATTGGCCGTGTCCGAGGTACACGGCCGGTGAGAGATCGCGCCGCTGCGTGGCTCTGCAACTGCGCGGCTCTGCAACTGCGCATGTGCGGGAGCACGCCAAATGGCGTGCACCCGGAAAGGTGAAGCATTTTTGCCGCTGCCAAACGGCTATAGGCCGGGCGGCAAATGGTTAAAGTAACAGCGCCGTGTCACTAAAAAATGGCCTGGTCAGGAAGGGGGGTAAATCCTCTGGAAGGCAAGTGGTTAAGAGAAAGAGAGAAGAGAGAGTGTCAGAATCCAGTAAATTGGCCGCAACTTGGGAACAAGTTTCAAGGGTCCCTGGGGCTCTCCATACCTGTTTTAGTAGGGGCCAGCATAGCTGATTAGCGGCTTTCTGACAGGCGGGTGTGTCCACCCATACAAGCGGGCTGAAGGCACTGATCAGTAAAGGGGAGGACACCTCCTGTAAAACAACGTCCGTACAATTTTATGAATGACACTTTGCCCCAGTTCCACATCTGGGGACCCAACCCGACGTTTACATATACACAATGCTCAGAGATTCATTCCTCCTCTCCAGCAAACTTGCACAACAATCTCCCAAATATTCAATATTATCACCCAAAGCAGATCATCTTTTGTGCTGCACCTTCCTTCTGATCACTGTTCTTCATCCAATCAGAGCAACCTGACACAACCACACATCCAATCCTCATCCAGTGACTGTGTACACCCAAGTATGCTGGCCTGTTGTCATCCGTCACTTTTGTCCTACTAGACCAGTGGTTCTCAACCTTTCTAATGCCGCGACCCCTTAATACAGTTCCTCATGTTGTGGTGACCCCCACCCCCCCCCCCCAAACCATAAAATTATTTTCGTTGCTAATTCATAACTGTAATTTTGCAGGGGGAGGAATAGCGTCCCATGTTGGTGTCAGTGGGGGGAGGAATAGCGCCCCATCGTTGGTGTCAGTGGGGGGAGGAATAGCGCCCCATCGTTGGTGTCAGTGGGGGGAGGAGGAATAGCGTCCCATCGTTGGTGTCAGTGGGGGGAGGAATAGCGCCCCATCGTTGGTTGGTGTCAGTGGGGGGAGGAATAGCGTCCCATCGTTGGTGTCAGTGGGGGGAGGAATAGCGTCCCATCGTTGGTGTCAGTGGGGGGAGGAATAGCGCCCCATCGTTGGTGTCAGTGGGGGGAGGAATAGCGTCCCATCGTTGGTGTCAGTGGGGGGAGGAATAGCGTCCCATCGTTGGTGTCAGTGGGGGGAGGAATAGCGCCCCATCGTTGGTGTCAGTGGGGGGAGGAATAGCGCCCCATCGTTGGTGTCAGTGGGGGGAGGAATAGCGCCCCATCGTTGGTGTCAGTGGGGGGAGGAATAGCGCCCCATCGTTGGTGTCAGTGGGGGGAGGAATAGCGCCCCATCGTTGGTGTCAGTGGGGGGAGGAATAGCGTCCCCATCGTTGGTGTCAGTGGGGGGAGGAATAGCGCCCCATCGTTGGTGTCAGTGGGGGAGGAATAGCGCCCCATCGTTGGTGTCAGTGGGGGGAGGAATAGCGTCCCATCGTTGGTGTCAGTGGGGGGGAGGAATAGCGTCCCATCGTTGGTGTCAGTGTCAGTGGGGGGGGTAGGAATAGCGTCCCATCGTTGGTGTCAGTGGGGGGAGGAATAGCGTCCCCAATCGTTGGTGTCAGTGGGGGGAGGAATAGCGTCCCATCGTTGGTGTCAGTGGGGGGAGGAATAGCGTCCCATCGTTGGTGTCAGTGGGGGGAGGAATAGCGTCCCCATCGTTGGTGTCAGTGGGGGGAGGAATAGCGTCCCATCGTTGGTGTCAGTGGGGGGAGGAATAGCGTCCCATCGTTGGTGTCAGTGGGGGGAGGAATAGCGTCCCATCGTTGGTGTCAGTGGGGGGAGGAATAGCGTCCCATCGTTGGTGTCAGTGGGGGGAGGAATAGCGTCCCATCGTTGGTGTCAGTGGGGGGAGGAATAGCGTCCCATCGTTGGTGTCAGTGGAGGGAGGAATAGCGCCCCATCGTTGGTGTCAGTGAGGGAGGAATAGCGCCCCATCGTTGGTGTCAGTGGGGGAGAATAGCGCCCCATCGTTTGGTGTCAGTGGGGGAGGAATAGCGCCCCATCGTTGGTGTCAGTGGGGGAGGATAGCGCCCCATCGTTGGTGTCAGTGGGGGAGGAATAGCGTCCCATCGTTGGTGTCAGTGGGGGAGGAATAGCGCCCCCATCGTTGGTGTCAGTGGGGGAGGAATAGCGTCCCATCGTTGGGGTGTCAGTGGGGGAGGAATAGCGTCCCATCGTTGGTGTCAGTGGGGGAGGAATAGCGTCCCATCGTTGGTGTCAGTGGGGGAGGAATAGCGTCCCATCGTTGGTGTTGGTGGCATTTGTTTGGCAGAACCTGCATAGGAACCATGTTGGGAGCTGGATATGTGGAATTTTAATGTAAGTGGCTATTAAAACCTTTTATATATACCTTGAACATGAGCCTTGAGACCCTTCTTGTCTTTTGAGGGACCTTGGAAAAATTTATTTGGAGAGGAAATAGAAGATCTCTGACTGGATGCTGGTTATATTGATACAGAGGGTAATAGTATGTAATACTATTGGTGTCGGTGGATACACAGTGTTGCAGTGTTCACGGAGTGGTCACAGTTAATCCATATGTGCACGAGATATATATATATATATAGTTTTTGCACAGTTTTTGTGTTTTTTGTTTTTTTGCACTGAGTGAATATATATTGTTTACAAAGGTAATGCACTAGATTATTCAATTTTGTTTTTTTGAGGTATCACGGGATGAAATAGGATTTCTTCCTACTGGATGATAAAGTTTGAATATTTGGGACTTATTTTTTGGGACATTACTGTTTTTTATTGGGACACTTTTTTATTGGACTTTTTTTTTTGGTTTTTGAGTATTTATCATTATGTAATTTGAATATTAATATGTTTTTGTAATTCTATCACAAAAAGGTTATAATATTGAATTGCTTTCTGGGGAGAAAGTGTGACTTTTTGGAAATTTTGGGGTGGAGGTGGTTATACACTTATTTGTCAGTGGGGGAGGAATAGCGTCCCAGCGTTGGTGTCAGTGGGGGAGGAATAGCGTCCCAGCGTTGGTGTCAGTGGGGGAGGAATAGCGTCCCAGCGTTGGTGTCAGTGGGGGAGGAATAGCGCGTCCCAGCGTTGGTGTCAGTGGGGGAGGAATAGCGTCCCAGCGTTGGTGTCAGTGGGGGAGGAATAGCGTCCCAGCGTTGGTGGTGTCAGTGGGGGAGGAATAGCGTCCCAGCGTTGGGTGTCAGGGGGGAGGAATAGCGTCCCAGCGTTGGTGTCAGTGGGGGAGGAATAGCGTCCCAGCGTTGGTGTCAGTGGGGGAGGAATAGCGTCCCAGCGTTGGTGTCAGTGGGGGAGGAATAGCGTCCCAGCGTTGGTGTCAGTGGGGGAGGAATAGCGTCCCAGCGTTGGTGTCAGTGGGGGAGGAATAGCGTCCCAGCGTTGGTGTCAGTGGGGAGGAATAGCGTCCCAGCGTTGGTGTCAGTGGGGGAGGAATAGCGTCCCAGCGTTGGTGTCAGTGGGGGAGGAATAGCGTCCCAGCGTTGGTGTCAGTGGGGGAGGAATAGCGTCCCAGCGTTGGTGTCAGTGGGGGAGGAATAGCGCCCCAGCGTTGGTGTCAGTGGGGAGGAATAGCGCCCCAGCGTTGGTGTCAGTGGGGGAGGAATAGCGCCCCAGCGTTGGTGTCAGTGGGGGAGGAATAGCGCCCCAGCGTTGGTGTCAGTGGGGGAGGAATAGCGCCCCAGCGTTGGTGTCAGTGGGGGAGGAATAGCGCCCCAGCGTTGGTGTCAGTGGGGGAGGAATAGCGCCCCCAGCGTTGGTGTCAGTGGGGGAGGAATAGCGCCCCAGCGTTGGTGTCAGTGGGGGAGGAGGAATAGCGCCCCAGCGTTGGTGTCAGTGGGGGAGGAATAGCGCCCCAGCGTTGGTGTCAGTGGGGGAGGAATAGCGCCCCAGCGTTGGTGTCAGTGGGGGAGGAATAGCGCCCCAGCGTTGGTGTCAGTGGGGGAGGAATAGCGCCCCAGCGTTGGTGTCAGTGGGGAGGAATAGCGCCCCAGCGTTGGTGTCCAGTGGGGGAGGAATAGCGCCCCAGCGTTGGTGTCAGTGGGGGAGGAATAGCGCCCCAGCGTTGGTGTCAGTGGGGGAGGAATAGCGCCCCAGCGTTGGTGTCAGTGGGGGAGGAATAGCGCCCCAGCGTTGGTGTCAGTGGGGGAGGAATAGCGCCCCAGCGTTGGTGTCAGTGGGGGAGGAATAGCGCCCCAGCGTTGGTGTCAGTGGGGGAGGAATAGCGCCCCAGCGTTGGTGTCAGTGGGGGAGGAATAGCGCCCCAGCGTTGGTGTCAGTGGGGGAGGAATAGCGCCCCAGCGTTGGTGTCAGTGGGGGAGGAATAGCGCCCCAGCGTTGGTGTCAGTGGGGGGGAGGAATAGCGCCCCAGCGTTGGTGTCAGTGGGGGAGGAATAGCGCCCCAGCGTTGGTTGTCAGTGGGGGGGGAATAGCGCCCCAGCGTTGGTGTCAGTGGGGGAGGAATAGCGCCCCAGCGTTGGTGTCAGTGGGGGAGGAATAGCGCCCCAGCGTTGGTCAGTCAGGGGGGAGGAATATGCGCCCCAGCGTTTGGTGTCAGTGGGGGAGGAATAGCGCCCAGCGTTGGTGTCAGTGGGGGAATAGCGCCCCAGCGTTTGGTGTCAGTGGGGGAGGGAAATAGCGCCCCAGCGTTGGTGTCAGTGGGGGAGGAATAGCGCCCCAGCGTTGGTGTCAGTGGGGGAGGAATAGCGCCCCAGCGTTGGTGTCAGTGGGGGAGGAATAGCGCCCCAGCGTTGGTGTCAGTGGGGGGAGGAATAGCGCCCCAGCGTTGGTGTCAGTGGGGGAGGAATAGCGCCCCAGCGTTGGTGTCAGTGGGGGAGGAATAGCGCCCCAGCGTTGGTGTCAGTGGGGGAGGAATAGCGCCCCAGCGTTGGTGTCAGTGGGGGAGGAATAGCGCCCCAGCGTTGGTGCAGTTAGCGCCCCAGCGTTGGTGTCAGTGGGGGAGGAAATAGCGCCCCAGCGTTGGTGTCAGTGGGGGAGGAATAGCGCCCCAGCGTTGGTGTCAGTGGGGGAGGAATAGCGCCCCAGCGTTGGTGTCAGTGGGGGAGGAATAGCGCCCCAGCGTTGGTGTCAGTGGGGGAGGAATAGCGCCCCAGCGTTGGGTGTCAGTGGGGGAGGAATAGCTGCCCCAGCGTTGGTGTCAGTGGGGGAGGAATAGCGCCCCAGCGTTGGTGTCAGTGGGGGAGGAATAGCGCCCCAGCGTTTGGTGTCAGTGGGGGAGGAATAGCGCCCCAGCGTTGGTGTCAGTGGGGGAGGAATAGCGCCCCAGCGTTGGTGTCAGTGGGGGAGATGGAATAGCGCCCCAGCGTTGGTGTCAGTGGGGG